CATTAATGCAAGAGTTGTGGAGAATAACAACCTGCAGAATCAGAATGATGGAATGGGAGCAGTAGCAGGGGCTGAAATTCAAGGCCAGCAGAGACTCCGGAGAGAAGATAGTGGAGCAGAGGAGCCAGATCCAGAACCAGACAGGCCATCTCTTTTTGCCCTCACCTGGACATTTTTTACGAGCTTCTTTGCATCTCTGATCCCTGAGCAGCCTGGAGCTCTTTAAATGATTTTCTTCCATTGTATCCCTTGTTATATTTGGGGAGTTTGCAGGATGCTTCTTTTTGTGCATAGGTTTCTCTCAGAGTGAATTTTCTCTGATTTGGGAGTACTGCTTCATTAATTTTTTTGTCTGTATTTTTGTAAAAAGTGGTCTTGAAGAATAGAAGCTTTTTTCAGCTAAAGTTTCCAGTTTCTCATTGTTTTATGAAAAATGATATTCATTGAACAGGTAATTTGCAAACAGCAGTTTATTTGCAATAACATTTTAGGATTAAGTACACACCTTCATGTTTACTGTTATTAATTTCAAGCAGATCATTAGTGACTTCTGTTCTAGTTTCATTATAAAAAAATTATGATCGTAGATCAAATTTACTTGACATTTTAACTGTGACTGGATTACCCATCAGAGATGTTTTTTATTTTATGATGAATTATGCAAGTGGGCTATTTAGTTTGAGTCATACATTTATCATTTATGTTTCTTAGTTTCTCACTAGCTAACCATCTGCACACGAATTTAGTCACTTTATTTATTTCAACTAATATGGCCTGTAATAAGTTGAAATTAGGGAAAAAATTAGCATAATCTGCCAAAGATCTAGTTCAGAGCTTTAAATAAATTCACTTAATTTCAGTAATGTGGTCTCTAACACTGGAGATTTGTTGTTACCTTTTTGTTGTTTTCTCTTTTAATTTATAGAAAGTATTTGTTTAAATGTTATAGATTGTCTTACGTTATTACTCAGAGATCTTGTTTCTTTTAGTTTTTTATTCCTCTATTTAGTATGAATGTGTGTGTGTGTGTAATACAGAGTCTGGCAGAGAACACTAACATTTTTGTGTTGAATAGTATACAATGCAACTGGTCAGGAAAGCTAGCAATGGCTAGGGGTTTGTCGTGCTGACCACACGCCACCCTATATCTGGTTGGATGATCGTTCACCTCTGCTTAGGCATGTGAACGTGAGGCCAGCAGTCAGCTAGTCGGCTTTGGCTCTCTGGAGCTGTTACACCACAGATTTAATTTAATTTTTAGTATACAATGCAAGGACTGCAGAAGTTTCTAATATCACAGGTACATAGCGCATGCATGGGAGTTGGTTAGAAACACAAAAGTAATTGTGATTCCGGCAGGATGGTGCCACATCACATGCTGCACAAACGAGTATGGTGAAGTTGTGCAAAATGTTTCCACATAATCTAATCTCATAGTTTTGTAATTTAAGCTGGCAGCCAAGGTCTTATTTTGCAGCCCCCAATCATATTTTGTGAGGTTATTTGAAAAGTCACATATTTGAGATGTAGCCTGCCAGTTTGGATGAAGTAACAGCCAGTAGCAAAAAAGTGATGTGTGATGGATGATTTCATGAAGCATCTCCAAGAGTCCATTTCTGCACAAGCAGGGAATTTACTGCACGGTGTTATCAAAAAGTGAACAATATATTTATCAAACTTAATTTTCAAGTTTTTTGTTAACTTACTCAATGAAACAGAATTTATTTAGAAATGAAAATGGCCAGTCTTCCCTTCCAGACCTTGTGTTTATAAGTTTTTTCATGTAAATATTAAATTGTAAATATGTGTAGGTCTTGATTGATCTAGCTGTGTGACATGTATTTGATTATAATACATTGATTGCTTGAAAACACCAAACATGTTGTAAACATTACATTCTGTGAACAATTAAAGTCTTTGTTGTACAAACCCACATAGGAATTGCACAGTGTAGTAAAATAAAATGTATTTGTGTTGTATGTAATCCTTCCATAAGTGGATGTCAAACAGTTTCCCAACCAGTGATATATGATATCAAAACACAAAACAACATTGTACTTTTTGAACTGCTTGTTTGCATGACCCTTAAATTTTACTTGATTTATGTGTAACTCATCTGTCATTCAAGAGGGTTCATACATTGGCGCAAAATCCTTGGACCTTATCCTGGGTATTGGAGGGATGATTCTGATACTGAAGATTGAACTGTGGTTATCTTGTACAGAAGAAATATAAGAAGTAAACTCAGATGGAAATTGGCATCAACTCCTATGTCTATAGGTCAGTTTAAATTGCAGTAATTGTGGATTTTTCACTTATTATTGGTACATAATGAAATAATGGTTCAGTTTTACTATAAAATATATTTGTATGCTTTTAGTGTGTTTCAGTTTGAACAACAATATAGGTTTAAAATTGATGCCTATTGGTTAATGTTTTCCTTTATCTGTAGGTTTAAAAAGACTGCAATGTTTTGAAAGCTGGCTCTGTCCCTGTCATCGGGTGAAGCTGCAGAATCTAATAATGTGGGTCTACTGGATAGAGCCCACACTGTTATGAAGAAATATAAAATAAATTAATTTTGTTTTTTCTCATGGTATATGTCAGAGTATTATAAATGTAGTATAAACTGTATAGGTAACAAGTTTTTTATATTATAAACATTTCATGGAAGAGATGCAGGACACACTAAGAGGTTCTTTGCAAATTGTTTATTCCTTTGTCATTTAATGAACATCATGGTGCAAGGTCTTCCTTCAGTACTTTCTCTTGGAAATTATTTATGTGTTACCTTACAAGGCATTTTTTTCTTCCAATATGATTGAGGCACAGATGTTGCTGATCTAGAATTTCTCTGTGGTTGGGAAGACTGTTTTATATTGAGTTTGGTAATAGATCTTAAGTAAACATCAGAAATGTCATTGTGAAAAATAAAATTTTAAAAAATAAGTTGAAGCAGACTAGATTAAGAAGACTGAAAAATATATTTACTATGGAATTATGAATGATGCATAATATTTCAACTTGACTGATCACCTCGGGAGTTGTGTTCTCTTGCCTCCTCAAGAACATAATCCACAATGAATATTTTGTCCCAAAAAGAAGTGAAAGAAATTTCTATGCTATAAAGGCTAATAAAAGTTTAAAGCCTATATGTTAGTGGTGGTCAGCAGTGAAAATGGTATTTGGCTTGTGTTTGTGTAATGTAAAGCAAGTTCTAAGGCTGGCATAATACAGTGTTTAGTTTACTATGAGAGTAGAACCTGCATGTTATAAAAAAAAGTAAACAGGCTCAATGTAGGTCAACTATCAGTAAGGAGTAAATTACGTATAAGCAACATGAAGTGGAAAGTTTCTTTTTAACTATTGAAACAAACACTTTTAAATTAATCTATAGGCCTTCCTCATAGTGTGTCACTGACGTGACATGAAATAATGTGTTATAAATTTTATTATACAGGATGAAAGTACACATGTTCATCTTGTATGTGGTGAGTTGTACTTTTTCATTATAATGAGTGATTATCCGTTGGCACAAGTGTGCTATTAAAGAGTATGCCGCACCTTATAGTAAGTGTATATTAAGCTACTGTGCTGCAGAAAATTATAATTTGTAGATGTGAGAGCATTTCATATATGTACATTTTATTTCATCTTTATTTGGCATGCATTGAGCCTGGCCTTTTTTTTAACCTTGTGTCATTGCACATCATAATTTGGTGCTTCATCCGATCCAGTTTATAGGTAGCTGGATGTAGGATGTGTATATTTTACATAAATGTATTTAGAAAAGTGTATTCAAATATATATGTACAAAAAAATAGTTGCATAATATTTTTACCTTTCCATATGTACAATGGTTATGATTCCTGACCTAACCAAATTTGAACCATCATATCATGCCACTTCACATGTATATAAATAGCATGATTAAAATGGAAGTTACTGTTGTCTACATCTGTTTACTTGGTATCTGCACTCCATAGATATCATTTTGGCTCAACTTGTTAAGACTTGTTTTATGCAACAAGATGTGCAAACTGGTTAATTATTTGTCAGACAACGTTCTGTGCAGTATCATTTGCTTCATTGTCACTCATTGTGTGTGAAGAATGGGAAGAAATTATTTTGGAGAACAGTACCAAGTACAGCATGCACAGAATGTCATACTAACTTCCAACCCTCTTCATCCTCCCTTCTTTTAAGACACCAATAAAAATTTACTTCCTATATTACTGTACAAAATATCAGGTATTTTGAAATTTGTAAATTACAAGCACTTTGGACTTCTTATACATTGCAGTGATCAGTCATTTTTCCTTTGCAAAGTACGCTGTTGCTTCTGTTTGTTTCAGCATGCAACTGGCTGGTGGAATCTTCAGTGAATGCCTTCAAGTGGAGAATATGCTTTATACTGGTAGAGGTCTGGACCTCCATATCCATAAAGCAGTTTACCTCTTCCATTCTCATCATAGTAAGGATATCGGTACTTTGGCCTGTGGAAAAAGAACATTACAGACAAAGGTATTTTGGCTTATTAAAATAGTGCTCTTTCTTCAGTGGTGACTTAGGCATGGACAGTACTAAAATATTTACAAAAGAGTCAAATGTGTGAAATACAATTGTGCTGATATAAATCCATCTTTAAGTCAGGTTCCTTATATGCCTTTAATAATACTGTATGACTGATTGTTTGGATCATTCGTTTCCAAACTTTTTTTTATTGTGGCTCTCATTTGAACATAAGCAGAACCTCCCAACTCTTGACCTTTAAAGTTTTGGTCACTTTCTAGACTTAAAAGAGAATAAAAAAATTCTTGTGATGATTCTTATATTAAATGACACTACATGAACACCATGGATCAACCCCCTCTTCGTCTCTGACAGTATACCAGTAGGCAGAGAGGGGAAGCCTTGAGAACAGTCAACCACACGACCGATAGAATTTCTTTCCATGTCTTCAGTATAGTGTTGCTCAAAAGTTTTCATGGCTGCCATGTTAATGTTGATGATGGTAGATAGTGGAAGACGCACATACATGCACAAACTGTGATAATTGAAAACCCAATAATATGCCCAGAAAATCATGATAATTTTTGAACCTTATTTTCTCATGTGAAACTTAATTTAATTTAAAGTTTTGTTGGTAATTATTATGAACAGATTTAAAACTTTAGTGTAGCAACTTTCATTGTACTTTTAAAAATGTATCAGATGTTTTCGAGTTTCCATATGTACAGCATTTTGCTAATGTGTTGAAGGGTAGAATCTTTTTGCACAGTATGTCAGTTCAGTTTTACTGCTTTACCTCTCAAAGTACTGGAAATTTGGTGCCCGTGGTGTAAGTGTTGAATCTGCCACACGAGATACCAGTTCCATTACAACAACAAAGACGAGAAGATACTGTGGACAATCAGAGTATATCTTAAATTGGTACTTAATTTGCTGCCATCTCATTCTTTTTTATTATAGGTAAATTTATTTGTGGTTTATTTAATAATGCTGTCAGCTCAGACTATACAGCATCATTAGTGACTAATGAATCAGGAGTTTCCTAATATTTTCCCACAGGAACTGGGTAAAACCACAAAACCTACCAGAATAGCCAATCTCCAAGCTAAGATTTAAACCAGAGACCTTCTGAGTACAAAACAGCAGTGCTAACAACTTGGCTGTGATGTTTGATATTACAGGGAAAAGTACATATGTACATTAAAGAATTAATTTGCAGATTATTTAAAGGGACCTTGTGATCTGTACAGAAGGTCTCATGTTCAAAACTATCTTCATCCATTGCAGATATTTCTGCATGTTTTCCTTTCCCTTGCTGCTGATAATGTCAGACTTTAAGAATGCAATATATACAGGAACTTGATCTTGGACAGATCCCACATTAAGTTGTCAGTTCCTACAGTGTCATCTTCATCTGTAGTAACATTCTGTCATTGGGACAAAATGGAAAAACTGTCTTATGCATGCCTCCATCCAAAATATTGGTTTTATTTTCACCCTTGCAATGTGGGTAGAGACCAAGGTACGTGGAGGTATAAGGCACCACAACACGAGCACTGAAGTTACAGTCGTAGTCATTGATGGTGTAGATGGAAGAAAGAAAGAAACAATAATATTAAATTTTGACATTCCCAAGAAAGCCTGCCCTAACATAATTCAGTGCATGTGAAATGACAGTGTCTTGAACCTAGATCAGCTTGACGGCAGCTGTATATCTTTACACTGAAAAGAAAATTGACTGCTTGCTGGCAGTGAAGTAATTTTTCATTTTTTATGCATTGCAGGCATTTCTGAGATCTTTATTGCTTCCATCTTCAAGATGAATTGAGAAATTTTGATTTCTGATATAACATCATCAAATTCGTAAGACTTGAGGTTCTCACAGCGGTGAATATGAAGATTTCTGTCTTCTGGGTTATTGCGCTGTGTAGTCTGGTCGATGTTAACCAACGTTTCAGAGGTCATACTGCCTCCGTCATCAGGGCGATGACGGAGGCAGTATGACCTCTGAAACGTTGGTTAACATCGACCAGACTACACAGCGCAATAACCCAGAAGACAGAAATCTTCATCATCAAATTCATTTAAATTTATGACCTCTGCACTTCGAAATCTAATGAGGAGCTTTATAATTTGATGTTGGGATTATTGCTGTAAGGAGGAAGGAATGGATGGGTCATGTATGAAAGCCAGGAAATGAATACAAAACTTGTTGGAAATCCCCAATGGAAGAAAACACCCGAGAGGCCATGGCGTAGGTGAGAGGATAACATTAAAATTGATCTTAAAGAAATACGTCATAAAGATGTGAACTGTATTGGACTTGCCCAGGATATTGTCCTGTGCGAAAATAAATACATTTATATTTTGTAACTATAAATGTAACATATCTTAATCACTGTGCTAGCTTATTATGGAGTAATACTTACAAACAGAATCGAGTTCATCGCAGGCGCCATGTTGAGATGTGTGCTTTGTGTTGCAGACTGTTGCACAGAAATCGTGTCAAAGACCACGTGAGTCTACCACTAGAGAAAGTTTTCTTGGCTCCTGAGGAATCTTCCTCTTTTTTTGTCTCGTTCTATAGTGCGATTCAGTTACAGAGTTCCACACGCAAGGTGTGTGGTAGTAAAACGAGGAGATTATACTTAGACAAATCAGGCGTTTTCAGATATATATCGAATATTTATTGATTTTTTATAAAATATTTTACCGAAATGCATTCTGTACGTGTTATCTATTTTCTATACATCAGTAATTTCTGAAAGTGTGGTCAGCCTCTCGCTGAGCCTGCTTTGTCGCCGGGGAAAGATCCCTCGTGTACGCATTTAGTAGGTGATTGGGTAAACCTCAGAGGCGGTGTAGACGTGTCCTTTGCCCTTAACTGTACTATATTGTAGTCAGTAAGAGCATTGGTAGGAGACCCAACACTTTCATTTGTTCGTGACCTCTATACAAAGCAGTGGCATTTCAAAAGCTTTAGAAAACAAATGGAAACAATGTTTTCGCGATTCGGAGCATTGCCTGTAGCTATAAAACAAAGCGTAATTTTGTTATCGGGATATAAATACCTTACAAGGCGCACTTATGTTAAAAATAGTTGCAAATTCATTTTGAATTGAAGCTAGTTTTTAACTATTTATGATCTGAATGAACAAGTTAAGAGATTCATACACGGGGGCTTGGAACTGTCCAATAAGATGCTTGAAAATTCTGTTCTCTCTTTCGATTTCCATTTAGGGATCTAGTTCAGTGATTTTCACTCCTACACTGAGCAATAACATATGCCTGTGTTGCAACTCATGCGGTATATCCTCTGCAAAAATACACTAGCATGTGCTAGAAAGTAGCTTAATCATGTCGTAATTAGAGGCAATCGACGTGAAAAGAGAGACTGCTATGAAAGGTCCAACCCCAGATGGCTGTAAATACACAGGACAACACAAAACAACACTGAAAAATGCGAGCAAAACAAAATTAAACAAGTAGGCCTATATCATGTATATAAAATAAAATTTAATAATCAAATATTTTATTTTAAAAATAGATTACAAGCATCGACTTTTGCAAACAGGACTTTGAAAATTATGTTTACAAAGACACTTCTGGCAAGATCGTTAACAACTGTCATGGTAGTTGCCTGCTCTGAGTTTTAATGCTGATGTTAATAGTTGACACATATTTGTTCTTTGTTTATGTACACGTACTTCGTCACGTAAGAATGACTTAAAGGAACTCTTTGTAAATGTGTTTACAAACGTATTATGATTGCAAAACATTAATGCACAAATTTCGGAGACGCATGTCACAGCGACGGTGCTTGGTGGAGGAATAAATTGGCATTGTCCTCTGAAAGAACATGGGATTTAACGAGCTCAAGATAGGGTTTAGTGGGTGGGGGTCTCTGTGATGAACCTTTGGATTCCATAAAAGGGAGTTTCTTTGTGTAACGATGAGCACTTGTTGGTTATAATAAATAAGTGCATTATAACCTGTGAAAGAAAGTAAAAGTGCACCAACAACCCTAGGAAGTAACGTGCATGTATAGCATAAAGTAATTCTTCAAGTAGCAATGTAAATGGTAATTATTCTATAAGCGATGTCTCCACGCGATGGCATATGAAGATCACAGGGCCGTAGCCGATCAGAGTGTTTCAGCTTAAAGTCATGACTGTTGTTAAAGTTACGTGAGTAATAATAATTCATTCAGTTCGGATCATTTACATGCGGATAACCTGCCCGCTTGTCTCTCTCTATCTGTTTCAGTTTCCTCTCCTCATGATTGCCGTCGAACCCTTGTCCCAGGCGAGCAATCAGCTTCTGACCACGCACACCGTATTTCTGTTCAAACTCGACGCGTCTCCGATCTGCAGCATCCGGATCGAACTTCCACGACACCACCTGGAAATTCCCCGGCGGCCCCGCCAAGTTTTCCTGGATTAATTGTTTGATTATGCTGCCCCACAAAGGCAGAGGCGAGACCATCAGCATTACAACCACCTGAAGGTAAGTCAGAGTAAAAGTTAAAAAAGTCAGACACATTGGTCCTGACCGCAGATTTGCGCGTCAGCGGAATTATGGAAGAAAAGTCGCATGTTGGTGGATGCTGTGTTATATTTCCCTGAATACTGCACTGAACAGGAGAAGAAAGCTGGCATACCTGTCTCTTGTTTAATCGACCAAAGTATACCTTTTATTCGTAACATCTGTCGGAGAATTCGACGAAAATCACCGCGGAATCAATTGATTCTGGTAAAATTTCGAATTCCAGTAGAGGATTATGCAGTTTTCTTTCCAGAACGTCACCGGGATACTTCCACGTCACTGTCCATCTGCTGTTCTCATGAGGGTATGCAAGAATCACGAAACTGAATAGTATACTGTGAATTAATTTGATTCCTGTGTAGTTGCTGGGGAAATAACAAGTAAAGACTGTGTCATAAAAGAGGCGGTAACGATTTAGACCCTGAGCGGGTAATTTATGTTATCGTTGAAAACCGATTTGGAATACTTGTCCTTAGGTTTTCACGGCTGGAGTTTCGGCTTCCATGAATATTTCATGGCTTATTCACCCACAAAAATTGTCTGCATATAACGTAATAACAGCGGGAAACAGCCTCTCACAATGACGATCAAAATGTGATCCAGACCAACAACATTTCTGCAGTATGTAAAGATTTTCGTGCAGCTGTAGGGAGCCACAGAAGATTTGTATTTAGATATACCAATGCAAATATACGCTAAGACAAAGCTTTATGACGAATGATTTTCATACAACTCCATCGGTATAAAATACGTACTGTCTTTAGAGACTTACCGCAAGGAAGACCCTCGACGTACATTCCATGGTGGTGCAGAATCACTGCACGACTGCAGAGAAAGTTTGTTTATCATTCTCCCCGAGTCGCTGGTTACGCAAAACCAGGTTGTGATTACATGTCTAAGCACTGGGAGGGCCTTGACTGCTCCATCAGTTAACTGTACCATGGGGCTTGAGTGACTATAGACAGTGCACGTAACACGAGACAGAAACTAATGTCCTCAATTCATCTCATGAGGTTAGTCAACCACTCTATCGAAAGGCCACGGTTTCCGTTTCATGTTTGACCAACACATTACGAGAAGCATTACAAAATGGATGTTGAAGTCTCGTCATCAGAATGCAGGGAAAACAATAACATAAAGATAGCTAACGGATCCTTTGAAATGTAGCAAAGTTGAGATGTGTGGGAGCAACAGTAACAAATCAAAATTTGATTCATGAGGAAATTAAGAGCAGATTAAATTCGGGTAATGCTTGCAACCAGTCAGTTAAGAACCTTTTGTCTTCTCGTCTGCTGTCTAGAAACGTAAAGATTAAAGTTTGGGCAGGGCAAGGGAGAGAAGAGGAATGCGTAAAGGGTTTTGGTGGGCAAACCAGAAGGAAAGAGTCACCAGGAAGACCTAGACCTAGGTGGGAGGATAATATTAAAATGAATCTTAGATAAATAGGATGGGGTGGTATGGACTGGATTCATCTGGCTCAGGATATTGACCAGTAAGTAAGTATTCAGTATTATTGCTGGATATGACTTCGTCACGCATTATGGTTAGGTAGGCCTAAGTAAAATGAAGCCAAATGCGAATATTAATTCTGTGAAGTTTTTCATTTTTATCTGAAAATCTTCAGTAATACAATAAACAGTAACTTCATTTTATGTTTCTATTTTTACTAAAAAAAGTTTACGATGCCATAAAGTCTATTCAGGAACCGGAGTACGGCTCTGGGGTCGACTCAGTCTCAATCCACTGGGTATCAGGGTCTTTTCCTTCGGGATGATGCGTGAAGCTAACTACTCAACTAAATCTAGTGTGGAGTTTAAAAATGCGTTAAGCTACTCGTAGGTGGTGTTACCAGGAACAATTTTACTTTATGGTAGGTCAACCACCAACATGACCTCAGACTGTAATGTAAAGAACGCCTAGTGGATGGGAACTGCATTTTAATTCCAAAAATTTCACATCAAATATGTTTTTCATAGAGGCTAAAGGCTTACAGTTTTTCAGGAAACTGCGGTGGAGGGAGAAAAATAAATTGTTGATCTTACTGTGATACTTTCACTTCAGACTGATCAGGTTATCTCAGCTGTAACGCTCTGACTTGCATTGGGAGGTATCCGGATCGATTCTAGATCGAACACCTGCTATTTTGAGTTCGTCTGTCATAATCTTGAATAAGCCAAGATTATTTCTCTCCCGCATTTTCCATTTTCCCTCTCATAATAATAATATGAGCATATTGTTGTTAAATAAGTTTTATAGTACGAATCAAGAAATCTCGTAATTTATTTCGGAGTGTTTGAAACATGATAGAAACACATTATATGTCATATTTTGCTGCAGATTGTAAAAGGAACTCCGCCATGATACTTGCTGGTTCAGATCACTGTCCGTCACGGTGTCACGGCCCCCAGCTTGATAAGCTGATCCTTGGTGTACCCTCGACCTAGCTTGTCGATGAGGTCCACACCCCTGTAGCCAAACCAACTTTGGTAACTATTTCTGAATTTGACGCCCTCATCTGGGTCAAATGGAAGGTTCTGAATGGCGCGAGTCGTTTCTGGGGCTATCAGCACATCCCTGAAGTTGCGAAGCGTCTCTAGGACTCCCATCGAAGCACAGTGGACCCCTCTGAACGCCAATAGCAGTGCCAGCACCTGGGCAAACCATCACGATCGCATCGTTGAAAATAAAGATGCAAATTCAGGAGGAACATTCTCTCTGACTTAAGCTTTATTTGCACTAATGCATAACACGAAGGATTCTTGGGAAGTAATTGCTTCGTGTCAGCAGTTTCATTTCCGACACTACTTAAATGATTTAGATTGGCTGATACATGAGCTTTTTGACAGATTCATAATCCCACCTGTGCAACAGATTCGTATTCCAATATCCTGAAGTTGTTAAATGCTGATGCCTATATGATACCACTTAACCCTGTGTTACAGGCAGTGTTTCGCAACCGGTAAACCACAATGTGTTTAAATGTGCTATGCCATTTAGAATTGAAATGGCTTTCCAGACTAATTGACAGAGAGACAGACAGTCGGACAGACAGCTTGACTGACTAACCAACTCTACGGAGCAGAGGTCTTCTTGAGAAGCTAATAGTACGCTCAGCTAGACAAGAAATTCCTAACCTTTTGTAGAATCAGAATTTTCGTTGCCATATTGACAAAAGCCCGCTACTAGATCCAAATCCGGAGCCAGATGAATTCAGTTCACATCCTTACTGCCTAGTTTTCAAATATTTATATTGATATTATTCTTCCGTCTACGCCTAGATCTTCCAAGGAGTCTCCTTCCTTGGGGTTTTCAGAATAAAATGTCGTAAGGCTATGCATATCTTATCTCTTGTTTACAAAGTGTTGTAACAGTGAGACTGTGTCCACAGCATTTTGTCATCTCTCTGGCCCATGGCCCCTCTTTCGTTGTTAGAACGTTGTTCTCTCGATATTTTTAATTTTTTATGCGGTACGTTTGTTACACATTGCCCTTTTTTCTGAACAGCAATTTCTTTATCTTAATATATTTTGCTGTTACATTATTTATCAGTTGTTCGTAAAATGTTTTTTATGTGAATTGCAATGCATAATACGAAAAATATAAAAATGAAAAGCGTAAGAAAATATTAATATCTATTTGGACATAATTTATGCATAAACATAGTCATGCACACATTTTTAAAACAGTATGTGATTATGATGTGCTGTGAGATTCTGAAATATACTTTAGTATCTACCACAAGAAAAAGATGGAGAAATACTGATACAGGATATTAACTTACCACTGCAATAATCCT